TTTATCTGTTATAGTTAAAAAGTTATTAATTTTTTAGAGAAAAGCGAATTTTGAAGAAACATGTGTTTTGTCTTTTTATTATAATTTTCTTCAACTTTATTTAACCGCAAAACTGTTAGCATAATTATCTTCCTCGATGTTTTCTACACCGATTATAAAAAAAACATTGAATTTTGACCATTTTTCCGAGAGTTATTAGCAAATGAAAATGCGCTGGGTAAAATTTACCCATGTGTAGAGTTTACGTAACTTTTTCACGTGTCGGGTTCTAGGGTTAAACGTGTGCTGATAAGATGTTGACTCTATTTTCAAAATGACGTAGAACAAAGCTGCATATCTGCATTATCGTTAAAGATAAGATACTCACAAAGTGTTTTCGAAGGTACTTTCCAAAACTTTGCCAATTGGGAAATATCAAGTGTCTCCTACGGTGCGTGTCTGGATGTCTGGATGAATAAACCATAAAGAAAAGAGAAGAAGAAAGGAGAAATAGGAAGGGAACAGGATGGTTAATTCACTAGAATCCACCAAGGAGCGCACCGGCTGATGGTTGGTTCGTCGAATCAATCCCACGACATCGTTCGACTCCGTTGGACCGTTCTCTCGTCGCGTTTTCTGGATCATAAAAAAAAAGAAAGAAAAAAAAGGAAACGAGACGAAAGTCACTCACGCGTACGCACACGCGTGCAATCTCTGTCACTTGTGTCCGCGCTACCACATACCAGCCGTGCCTTTCGCGCCGAGCGTACAGTGTGAACTGATTGTTGCTGTGTACGCTCGCTCGCTCGCTCGTACACGATTCCCACCCAGATGTCCGACACGAGTTCATCAATTGGCTGGAGCGTACCGAGCGATCAGCCGACGAATTGCGCGGCACAAGTTCAAAGAGAAAATCCCTGTACGCATTCTTAAAGGAGTATTCTACTTTGTTAGATAGAAAACTTAATTTTTGTAATAGACACTTCAAAAGTCTGGAGCATATGCTCACGAAATTTTAAATGTAAACTCGAACATTGTGCATCCCTTTAGATGTAGGAACTAAAATTTTGTTTGCAAAGGAGAGGGTGCCTCGGGAACTCGGTTCTCACAATGTAGAATCAAAATGTCTCTTTAATAGCATAAACGTTTCGACCCCTCCTCGGGTCTTCCTCAGTAAAAAACTCGTTTAGACCGAATAAAGATTCGAATATGTTTTATAATCGAGAGGTTCTTAATGTCGCCTGTTTTTATGCAACCCGATCATGCTTCTTGTATTGGCGGTCACGCGACAGGCGTGTATGCTGCGGAGGGATTTTATTTTATGATTATAAAATAAATAATTTGTTGGTAAACGAATGGCGCAATAATCTATGAAGGCTATTTGATAAATTTGAGATTATGTAAAGAAAAATATGATATAGCTTTTATCTTAATCAAGACAAAACAATACTGTTTATAGATAATTCAGATATCCATTTTATCATGAAATTGAACGAAGATTTAACTACTTCAATCGCCATGAAGAGGCGTTGCAAAATGATCTACAGTTGGTTCATTAAAAAAGACTGTAAATTTTGATTATATTGCAATATACAATAGACCTAATTATATATTACAAATGCACATATAAAATTAATTTGAAAGCTGAATTTATTTCATATTCTGCTTTTATACATGTATAATTATTTACAAAATGTTTGTCTTGTCTTAAATACGATTTTTTTTAAGAGTTATCCTAATGAGGGTATTATATGTAATCACATTTAATAAAATTTAATTTAGCCTTCATTTTGTCTCGTTTTTAAGAGAAGGGATATCCACAAAAGTTGTAGCAATAAGATTAAAATTACATTATGACATTTAGATGAGTGTGACTCATGTTATGGAATGTGATTAAAAATAACATCTAAATATCGATTAACGACGAGGAGCATTCGCAATAAATATCTTTATGGTTGCTGCACTTCCGAGTCAATCAATATATTTGCTGAAATAAACGGTTACACTGTTCAATAAAAATAACTTTTTTTTTCAAAGAGGGCTGTTTCAAGACTATTACTTGCATCTCGACGAATCGCACATTCATCATTAGATTAAATGGTTGAAGCAAAAACATTTTTTATCAGTTACTTATTATTTTGGTAAAAAAGGCTTTTACTATTTCCTAACGTAATTATTTATTGGAATAAGAATTAATTATATTTTACAAAAAAAAAATAGCAAATGTAAGTACAGGAGCGGGTAATCATAAGCTGCAAATGCATTTTAGTTAAAAGGAGAAAAATTACCGGTTTCGCGTTTATTAAGTGCACACAGGTCAATCATTTAATGGCTGTCACGTCTCGTATATGAAGTCGTGAGTTATGTAGATTTTACATCTCGCGAATATATAATTGGTGCTTCAATCACCTTATGCCATATCACGCGATTTTACGTTAAAATGATTGTTGATTGACGTCCGATGATACGAAGTTTAACGCGACGGTTCTCAACGTCCGAGCAATAATTATTTTATTCCTCTCTCGTTCTTATTCGACACCAACTATATTATGCAAACAATAACAAGAGAGCTTTCGAGTGAGACACTTATCTTAGTTGCATGATTAGAGACTTAATAGCGCTTGTGATGAAACATTTGTTGTTAATGTATATATTCTAACGAAATAATTAGAATTGTTGAAAGTACGGAGAATTTGACATTACATAAACATAAAGTAAGTAGTGGAAAGGCTTTTTATTCAGGATGATTTGACTTCGATGATGCATAGATGCGTAATGCGATGATGTATCTTTGACCAACTGCGCATCACTGCCTTACTTAATTCAACGTTTCCTAACACGAGCACATACAGTGATGAACAACACGTTGTCAGTTTCACAGATTTATAAATGTGTAAACAAATTATACGCCAGATTATGACGCGATCTTTATTGAAATCGTGCTATTTTATTCTACTGTATAAAACGCTCCATGAGAACAGGACGCACCTTCTCCCGTATTATGCATCTTATTCATTATAGGCAATTGCAACTAAGATTCCATTCCGTGTGAGATTTTACATGTTTCAGTTAAAAAGATTATCATCAATACTATGTGTATAACAATTAAATAAATATTGTGTTATATTAGACCTTCCAAAACATATTATATTACGTAAATAAGAGATCGAATCTAGATAATATTTACAATCTAATAAATTAAATTAATATAAGTGGGTCGTACAGAATATTGCGCAATAAAATAATAAAATAGTGTGATATGAAAAATATTATTTGTGCAAGAGCATGTAACACACAAAATATATATTCCACCTTTATTTATATCGCATTTTTAAAGAAATTGCAATAGTTATAAATTTAAAATTTAATTAAAGAAAAAATGTTAATAAATATATATTATACGTACCCATATATTTATAGAACATTACTATCACGTGATTTCGTTTTGCGTGATGACATATGCGAATTTTATTACGGCCTCCAGGAAGCTGGTCGCAAGAATAAGATTAGCATCTTAAGAATTCCGAAAGATTTGATCGCTGACCGGCCAACGATTTCTGGATAAAGCCTACGCGTGAGGTGATCGATTGAAATGTGTATTGCTAAACGACTATTAAATAAAAATATTTAGTATTAATTGTTAGTTGACCATAGAGAACTCTCTTTGTTGCACGTTATTCGCATATTTTTCAATGAGTACAATTACAAGATTCTTGGCAAAGAAGAATTTATTGTGATTGGTATTTAAATTATATTAATTGTAATCCACACTTTTCACGAAAAATTACGTGAAGTTGTTTAGTAAAACGTAAGATAAGACTCAATGATGCTTATTCGTAACTTTAGACGCCAATATCTTCTTAAACAAAAAGTTTGCACAGGCACGTTTCTAGGAGTTTCCTTACTTATTCCGAGATCCTAAATTCATATTTTAAAGTTAAAACGTTTAATCCTGAAACACTATATAAACGTGATAGAGTCATTCCCAAATTTTACCTAAAGAAACTACCATTGAATACCGTGGACGATCGTTTCACCTTTTATCAAATGCTCAAAACTATCTCACAAGTTCGTTACGCGAATAATTTAATCTTTGGTGTCATAGGTGTGTCAGATGCTGATTTGTATCTCTTCTTCATTGTACAAATGCATATTTATTGTAATTAGATGCATTTTTAAGTAGGACTTACTGAATTTTCTATCAAATATCCGTGATATGTGACGAAGATGAAGTATTGGAATGCATGATTAATGAACGCAAAATAATTTTTTTCATTTGTTCCATACAGCTAACATCGATACTATCTATTTTTATAACAGCAAGAAGAAGTCGACAATGTCGCTTGTGCATGAATAATTCTCTGTACGATTAATTTTGACATTGAGAATCATACAATGACGATCATATCACTTTTTATTTCACATATTTGATGATTATGGTGGTGTTTAAATATCTAAACTTCGTCTGTATAAAAGTAAAGCAAAATTAATCAATTACTACGAATAAATATTGTAAATTTAGAATTTGTCAATTAGAAAATTAATTTACTAAATTTTTTAGTAGTGGAATAGTTGCGATTAACATGGTGGAAATTTGTGCAACAGAATTATATATTTTAAAATTGAAGGAGAAATATTATATGGCCAGAAAGGCAGATTCTCGATGGTTATATAACGCTACAGGCTATATATGAAGTTAGTTGTGCAGCAGATATCGATTACAGCATTGCTAACGTTGGTTTGCTGCCAAGTGGTTGAACGCTCAGCACGGACATTGATTGGCACCACTTTGTTCCGTCGAAAATGAGCTGCAAGCAATACCACACGGTAGCTTAACAAGATAGAGATTGATTCAAGAAATTCTGACATTATAGCAATCTGTCATCGCACATAATTAAGCCGTCACAACGGCGTTTATGGTAGACGTTTGTTCACACTGCGTTGTCTAGCTCAAAGAGAGAATTAATTATATGCATTTTCTCACGCAGCATCGGATATAGACTATGATTGTCTACGAAGCATCGCAAAGCAATAATGTCGTCAGTTTGAAGCAATAATAACTTATGCACGCAGATGCACATTGTAGATAAATTCGGTAGAAGAGAAAAGATAAAAGAAGTTCAATGTTATAAGAGTTAATATAAAAGTTGGGTCAAATTGTTCGAATAAATGGTTAAAAGTGTTATTGATTACGGTTATTATTGTGATTGCATGATAGGATTTGATGCCAGACACTGTAATGATCTACATGCGTCAGATCATGAATTTTATTGCACCCATTCATTCAGGATCAGGGATCATCCAAGTTTCATTCAGAAAATTCTGACGCAAGAGTGGCCGAGCACTATCATTCAGAAACAATTTGCTTGAGTAATGGCTACCGTGGCAGACGTAACACACTCGCGTAATACAGCCGAAGGAAGCACAAGGACTCCAACGGCGTTTTATCTTTGTTACTGCTTTGGCAGCGCGTTCATTCCTCCGATGCTCGTTCATCAACGGGCAGCTGCAATCGCAATAATTGTTCTTCAGTGCTGTGAGAAATTCGTCTCCTCTTTTCGTGCTAGGGGGAAAAAAAGGACGGTCGGCCTTCTGTGCCTGGGTATAAGATATTCGTTCTTAGGCAAGGTCGATGTCGCAACGCCGGCTCGTGCGGACGCACCTTGGATTTATCTCCCGTACGAATTATCGGCTAGCGGGGGATTCCAAGTAGCTTAATGTAGGAAAAAAGACGCTATTTAAAAAATTTATTACATATACACGCATTCCATATTCCTCGTTCACAATGACAGTCTCAGGTGAAGTGTTGGTACCATCGATTTGCGTTAAAATATAATTCTTTTGCGCTCATCAGGTTTTGCATGCGGGGCATATTCGCTGTATCCCGAACACTCGCTACACGTCTGAATCGTTGACGCAATCTCGCTCACGTGGATTTCGCTCGAAAACATGTAAACGGGCGAATGGGATGAGTCGCAATCATACACCGACAAAGAGACAAGCAGGGAGGGAAAGCATTATACGGCCGGGCATTAAAATCTCCCGCAGTTTATGTTCATCTCCTCCTACCGATTAATCATTCTCGATTATGATTTTATGACTCAGACACATCAATTTTAATGATGCCATGATGCCATTTTTTAAAAAATACTTTTGCAACTTGCCACACACGCCGTCATAACACACAGGGATAATTCCCAAATTACTCTTATCGCTTCCCGACCTTGTGATTAATTTCAAGCCGATTCTTTCTTAATACACTTCTTTCGAAAGACTGTCTCACGTCAAATTTTGTACTTATGCTATTCATATTAAAATTAACTCATATTAAAGATTGCCAAAAATTCAGGTAACTGTTTAATAGATGTAATTATTTTAAATATATATTTTTTATTATATATACACTGTATTTTTTTTATTATATAATATAAAAAGGGAGAGATTCAATTTTTATTTACAAAAATACTGCTCGGAACGAAAAATGCCAAATACGTTTTTAATTAACTTTTTCGGCAACTTTCTTGCTATGGTATTTTCGCGAATTTCAGGGCACCCGTATAGTAAATATATGCAATATATAATTTGTAAGCAAGAAATACTTGTAAAACATGTAAGATTTAGTGCTCGAGCAAACAGTTCAAACAATCGGCAAATCGTGAATCAGCAGAGCGCATTTCCTTCCCATTTGTCAGAGTAATATGCCTAGCAATGTATCTAGGTTTATCAAGAAGATAAGAAAGATGTACACGCAATCGTGTGGTGTACCTACATTTTGCTAACAGGATGTCTCTAGAGAGTGGTGCACATTCTCGAAAATTTTTCAAACCTTATGGATAATTGAGTAGCAAAATAATAATCGGTGCTTATTTAATGAGAGAATTTTATCTTTGAAGGCCAAACAAATTAATAAATGTCCAGCTATAATAACCAACCATTATAATTTATTTAACAAAATCATGAAAAGTGCAAGATGTTCCTTAACATATGTTCGAGTTTAGAAATTTTGAAGAAATACCTGAATTTTCAAATCACATAGAGAAAAATTCCATCGCGGGCGAATCTTTCCAAATTGCGGTGCACGCTTGGGACATTATCGTTATCGAGATTCGTTTGCATTTCGCCCGCATTATGCACTACGCCACGTGAACGTTGAGTTCTTGAAGACGACGCGCGAACAAGTAACACAATGTCAACAGGTTTCTCGGCTATTATGCAACCGATCGATTTAGACGTCGCGCGTAAAGGTCAAGTCGACTTGAGGTTACTTTTGGCAGAAGATACTATTTTAGCCCGGGTATCCTCTCTCGCTTCTTCTCTCTTTCTCTTTGTCCTTTCTTGCCGCCGTGACTGGACATAACCCTGGCTTTTTCTCGTTTTTTGGGTATCATTACGATGAGGGAAAGTGGGGTCTACGGTTTCGTATAAAAGCGCATTCGAGTCTCGTGGCGGTCACACTCGAAATCTCATCGCGTTCCTCCATTGGATCGACAGATTCGAGCCACCCGCACAACAAAATGAAATTTCTCGTGAGTTTTACATTGGCCTTCACTTTATCTTCAATTCTGCTATTTATAAGTAAACTTAACTCGTAGAAAATTATTATCTCAATGTTTAATATCAATATTAATATAGATAAAATTTCAATCGGTTCTGTATTTTTTCTAGCGTAAGTTTTTGTAAAATATATTTGACTATTTGATTTTTAATATTTGTCAGTACAATCGGTATACATTTCGATATACAATTAAGAAGAAACTTCCAATTTTCAGTCCTTCTTTTAGAGTTCATCAATCACTCGGAATAATTCCTGGATTTTCCCGTTTCTTCCGATCATTTTCGATTATTGCGAAAACAGCTTGTTACGATTCTGTGATCCAATTAATGCTCGGCTAATTAAACAAGAGAAGAATAAAGTGTAAACTGCAATAACAAATCAAACGCAGCAATTAACGGTGATTCGCGTTAGGAAACGGCGGACCTTTAATTATTTGCCTACAGACGAACTATTAACTCGCTTATCTTTCGATGATATCCAATCTTCTTTTCACAGATTTGCTACGAAACCTGCAATTCTTTTTTTTGCAGCGCACAATATTACGCGCAAGTAGCAATTTTTTGCCCATTGCACTTTCCGGCCAATTACAGTGAATTTACATAATCGACATCTAATACCATTAATTCTTTAACAACGGAAATCTGTTATTTATTCTGGCATAATTTGTGTGCTTGTCAATTAATAATATAACTTAATCACAATAACGATATTATAAATCGCTTGTTTAGTAAAATTCTACATAGCATGTGCCAATTCTCCATATTTTTTCAATAATATAACCATTCCATCCTAGTTTTACATTTCAATGTGGATTTAACATTTTGAATTATCGATAATCCTTTACAACTACTTGTTAATAATGAGCGGAACTAAATTCATAGTTACGTCAATTTTTTTTACACAGAGAGAATTTTCTTTTAAAAGTTATGATTTGAATGTATTTTTCTCTTAAATTTACCCGGAAAATTATAGTTGTGAGACAACATGGCATTTCGAAGAACTTTATGAGTTTTCTTATTAATATCTACTACAATGAAAACGATTAATATCCACCACAATGAGATATCAAATATGTTTGAATAATTTTACTACGATACATAGTGAAGTTTCGACAAGCTCATAAAATTCTGCACAATTCCGTGTTGTACTACCATGATTTTCAGGATAAAGTCTAAAAGAAAATTCTCTCCGTGTACAATAAGAAATGATTCTCGGCGCCCCTTTTCTCGTACCTATGTTCTATTTTGATTTCTGTTTCAGATTGTGTCCCTCGCTCTAGTTGCTGCCGCTCTAGCGCAGCACCAACAATACCAGCAGCAACAGCCGGTGGCCATCCTGAAACAAGCGCAGGACATCTCGCCGGAAGGATCCTACCATTACGCCTACGAGACCGAGAACGGAATTGCCGCTACCGAGCAGGGCTCGCCGCAGCCCGTTGGACCCAAGGGCAATCCCGCAATCATTGCCCAGGGCCAGTTTCAGTACACCGCTCCCGACGGCACTCCCATCGCCGTCCAGTACACGGCCGACGAGACCGGCTTCCACCCGCAGGGCACCCACCTGCCGGTCGCTCCACACGTGCCCGAGCTGATCCAGAGGGCCGTCGATTACATTCTAGCCCACCCGCAGCCCGAAAATCAGCAATAAACGATCAGCGACATTTAGCAACATCTCTGGACAAAGCGCCTACCTCTCGAGCCACGAACTATAGATATCAAATATTTTTTTAATATAAGAATATAAATATTTCTTAAGAAACACCTCCCGACGTATTCATTTGCCGGCCGATCCGATAAACCCACCACAACTTAATTGCCCAAGGTAACGAAACTGTAAGGTGTTATTTTTTATAAGAGATACCCTTCCGCAGTTTTTAATAAGAGACAGTCGAAATTGATAAAAAATTAGTTATGTGATGCTTGTAGATCGTCATAATTGCCTTCATCTGGAATTGTGTCAAGGTACAATATGTATCATAGGAATCAAGAGGAAGAGAAGGATCTGTATAAAGGTTGATTCTAATTTGATGTCGTGCATTTTTCGCGCGCTACTCTTAATTTATAAAGTCGTAACTCTTTAGTTCGCGTGAATTTCGCGGATTCTGTAGGAAGGACGCAACGACGGGATTTTTTTACGACGTCTCCTTGTGCGCGCGCGCCAGATATTTCCGGCTAGGAGACCCTGGCATTTATTCTTATGCAAGAGTACAACCGTGTTACACCACCACGCTGGGTTAGTTAATTTCGACAACACGTGAACGACCGGAGTTTGTGGAGGTGTCGAGCGGATAGAAATTACGGATGCTGGCGAAAGATTCGACTCACCTCACCTACGTGAGCTCGAAGAGACGTTCTCGCGAGTCCTCTCGGGAAGTTAGCGTCTTTCAAGGATTCAACGTTACATTTTGCGTACCGCGACGCGCGACTGCCTTGGAATCGGGACGAAGAAACGCGGTAGTCCCGTGCGACGAAGAAAAAAGACGTGGGCGTGGACGATAAATATTAATGTTATCGGGAGAATGACGGCAAAATTCATTATCGCCCAAAATTAGTACCAAGGCTGGAGTATCATAGCGCGCTCGATGAATTACCGTATGATTTATGGATCTATTGTTGGTAAGCTATGAATAGAAGCCGCATCAAGAAAGCTACATTGTGCTTACGCCTGAACAGAGTTTCCTGTGTTTGAGGATATATTGCAAGAGTTGAATACAATGTAACGCTCGGCAAGGAACGCCAGTGCCTGCACATTTTGAAAACCTCATCCTGCAGCAGATCTCCGATAACAAAGGTAGCATCGTTTTTTTTTTAATAGCAATAATAATAGCGCGATTAATTGTAGCAGTATCGTTTATACAACAGCCACCGTTTGTCTTCGCGTGAGGAGCGCAATTAGCGCTGATTAGCGTCGATCCGACGATTAAGATGTAATTTCCGAGAGCGACGTAATAAAATTCCCCCGTAAATTCGCGGCCGTATCGCGGCATCGTTTCAATCAACATGGAAGATATTTCCTAGAAAATCTCACGACCATTAACGGCGCGCACCGTTCGCTAATAAAATGGCAGCGATTTTTCGCACCTACTAGTGTGCATCGTTACTGGTGTAACATTGCGTAGGAAACGGGTGAGATCGCGAGGCCCGATAATACCCTGTTTTCCATGTGACGTCCATCTCACGATGGCACGCAAAGGTGGGAAATCATCCATTGAGATTCTTATCCCGCCGGCTATCTCGTTCCTATTACCGGTAACGCGGTTCACGTAACGTGCAAACTATATCGCTGTTAATCGATATCAGATGGACCGATAATTCAATAATGGAAAACTCTTATAGCCGAGGAAATAATCGTTGACGAGGAAAACTTGTTTAATTGATCAATAAATAATTATGATACATTGCCACATTACGTTCAACGATTTCTTGCCATTAACAACATAATTATTATTTATTAACCCTTTCATTTTCTCTCAAATTATTTTAACAGTCTACAAAAACCATTTCTATGCACGTTACGTGACAAATGAGCAATCCATAGAAACAACTTCCCAGACAGCACACGATATCCTATGGATATCCTGGGAACATTCTTAGGACATAAAGACGTCCAGAGAATGTCTTTAAGACGTCTTCAGGAGATCTGTGCTGTCTGGGTTGAAAACGTAGAAGTATTTTTCTACGTTACTTTTGTCGCTGTTATGCTCATTAATTAACATTGCAAAATTATTGCGTATTGTAATACTTTGACAATTTCATTTCAAATGTTTCAAGGAAGTTGTAGTCTGCAAGCCCTTACCGCTTTTCACCGTTGAAACGGTACCAAATAAAAAAACTTACTGCGTTACCGAAAGGTCTTTAAGTACATATCAGTTATCTAACATATTCATTATTTTACTTGTACAACCGAAAGCAGCTCAAACAGGATCGCGCAATCGCGAATTATAAAAATTAATTAATACGTTTAAACGCGAGAGATCATGTCGAAAGGCCGCCGTTACGTCTGCAATCAACCGATGCTGCCTTATCGCAATATATTAATTAGCGAATGCCGGGCGATTTCTTTTTCCGCGAACGAGAAAACCGGGTTGGTTTCCGAGAGTCTCCGCGGGAAAACAAAAGTGATCGGCGATAATAAGCGCCTGGCGGCTGGCCCGAGGGGAGAGGAATTCCCTGCTCGTTCTCGCGCGCGGGTATCGAGACGAGTGTCTTTAATCGTTGCATCCTCAGTGGGCGGTCCTGATAGAGGCACGACCGCGGGAACAAGTAAAGACATATGTCGGTGGGCGCAGATGCGTCGCGCCGTGCGACGTGGAGAAAGAAGCAATCCGCGATGGCCGACTCGAAGTAAGAACAACGATAGATTATGCCGAGCGGGCTGAGCCCTGAGCGAGTTGAGTAACCCTCTCTCATAATCGAGGGGCTATTTGTGCTCGAAGACTTTTATCGGGACCGATAAATGTGATCGTTTGCATCTCCTTCTTATTATCACTCGACTACAATGGCGTCGTATTATCGCCTTAATACCGTGAATACGTTTAAATAAATCAGCGTTGATACGAGTCAAAGATATACTAGGTGTATAGGAGCTAAATTTATCATAATCATTCGTCTCAAGTTTTTACGAACACTACAGTGATCTCTATTAGTGAGCTCACGATAATTTTTCACTAATTTATGTTTAATTTACGAACAGGCAAATTGATACAATTGACACAATTATACACTTGAAATGTAGTTCTGTTTTTAATGTGAGAGCTTTATGTTGCATTAATGATGAATTCATAAATTTCACTATTTTTCGCAATAAATTTTCTGTGTTAAAAAACACGTTGCCAGTTACGGTCGATTGAAAGCTTAATTATTGTCAGTCATGTACTGGCGTGAAATAATTCTTGACGTCATAAATTTCAGTCTAGAAGACCGACGAGAAGTTTGACAACTAATGATTAAAAATTGTAGCTCGGGGGCACACGGTATGCGATGGCGTTCAATCGTTTTACGCAAGACTGATGCCTTATTATACCGTTTACATTAAATTTGTACGAATCAATTACAACTTGGAATTTATCAATTTGATTTCAAAATCGCAGAACGCACAAGCACACCCGAATGACTGCTACAATTGCTGAGTAATAAGGTCGCGCTTTCGGTGTAAAAGTAATGGCAACGTTTCGTTCCGTTAATATATGGCTCGTTTCATAATGGCGAGCGTGATAAAGTCGAAGATTTCACAGAGGAAGATCGCGAGAGATCTGGGCGAGAATCCCTCGAATGGAAAGGAGAAGAGTCTGTAAAGCGGTAATTGAAGATCATATCGAGGGCAGATTATATTGATGGGCCCTCCTTTTGCGACAGGCGTGAATTTACGCCATTACCAAATCGCGCGTCATTACCTAATTATATTTCATTATGTATTATAAATACTGGACGTCACGATAGCGACGGCCTGACGGCGGCCTCACGTCCGAGTCGGAAGAAAGATCAGTCTTGCGTAATACACGATTGAATACCATCGCATACTACGTACCCCCGTAATTTTCAATCATTAGTTGCCTTTTCGAGACTGAAATTTGTGAATTCACCATTAATGCAAAACAATTTATTTGCATGGAAAAGTAATTATGGGTCTTTCGACTCGTCTCCCAAATAGTTGATCGAGGTTTATTTTGCGGCAATTAATAAAATTGTTTCAAATATTTGTGACTTATGAAGAGCAAGTCAAAGTCTTTGCTGAGAAAGAAATGTACATTTTTGGTGCCCAGTTCCTTCTGTGCTCTAATGTTAGAGCGAATGCGATTCAGCTGACATAGTGATTACTGGATGTGTGCGGCTCATAACTAGAATTATCAGGTACACGAGCAGCGAGGATAGATCCCTGCAATTGTCCAGGGAGAAATGGCGTATAACAGCGTTTTAAGTCAGAGTACGTCGGATGAATGGGGTGCAGGCCGGAGGGCGGGATTACTATGCTTTTCTTGAATAATCCAGCGAAACTGGTGGACTACGTCTTCCTCTATCTCTCGTTATATCACGTGTACATCGTGTGTCAGTGCATAGTACACGTAATCCATTGCGAAATCCGAAACCGAGAAGTTATTCGCCGGAGACAATCGAAAACAGATTGATTCTTCAATTCATTCTTAAACGATCCTAGAATGTAAACCAGATCGTCGACTAGATTGCATATTGTGAAATTTGCGCCTAGAAAATTTAAATTCCAAGAGGAACTTGGCACACAGAAACTTACTCGGATAGATTTGGGTCATAGATTACAAAGTGGACCATGACCAATGGAGAAGAACGAATAATAGCGCAACGGGTTTAAGATTTCGTGCCTGATAGGAGATGAGCGCAAGACGCTGCGCGCTACGAGCAACGCGGAGATGTTTCGGCCTGAGGAACGCGTTCCTTTCAGGAATCTGAGCTGTAAATCCGCGGGCGGGTCATACCGCCTCTTGGGTAACCCCGCAGCGGCATAACTGGCAGGTTATTCTCTTCTTCTGGCTCTCGTTCTGGCACTTCACCGTTCGCGCCCGCGACCGCACAATAAAGCCAGCGTTTCTCGCGGGGAAGAGCAGTTTTTAATGTCAAGGCGCCGCCTTTTGTTGAGGCTCTCTCCGGTAACACCTTTCTGCGCTCTCGGGCCAGAGTTAGGCGAGGAAGAGGCGCGTCGTATCGCGCGCGATTACGAGCGCGCGCGTTGTCGAAATGTCCTGACTGGTGGAAGCCACCCAATATTCTACTCGACGAATCAAATGTCAAACGCGCGTTTATGAAAATTCCTCACAGTCGCATTAAGTGTATATATATTGAGAGAGAGAAAGTATGATCTACGCGTCAACTAAGATTTAAAAAGAAATATAAATCACAATTTATATTTGAACAATTATTTATATAGTTGTATGCGCGCGCATAATGTGCATAATACTTTTCCAGCACGACGGCAATCGTAGGCGAGGAGTGAGTTCACGATGCGTATCTCATTTTCCATAGAGATACAAATTGTTTTATTGAGAAGCGAGGCCGATGCCGTAATTCACGGAGTTTATTGCGAGCGTAATCCTCTTCGTACACCAAACAATGCAACAATTCTTGCCCGCTAATGCTAAGCACTGAGACAAAAGAAAGGGTGGGCTCGTTCGTCGTCAGTAAGATAGGATTCATCCTAGATGTGCCTGAGCTTGTAAATAAAAAGGCCGTCATTGTTTGGTCGGGGTTGCCCTAGAATGCGAATGCAGGTCCGCGTTTTATTACAGCGTGAGTTAGCAGATAATGTAATTGACGATAACGTTGTTACGTGCGAAAATATAGTTTCAAATATCACGCACGCACAGAACATCTAAGTGAATATTAAGTACATTAGTGTTGTACACAGTAGATAATATAAAAACTAGTTTAATTTTGAGAATAAATACTTTTAAATGAGTTTGACTAATTCTAATATCTATTCGATTCTACACGTATACTCAACGTATTAAAATCTTTTAACGAGACAGAGGAAAGAATTTAATAATCTTGCCATCTACATACTCTCTGTTATTGCAATTGTTCGCACAATTATTGTTACGTTATTGCAAGATTTGCACAATGCATGGATGATTATAGTGGCTTCTCGAATTTCGCGGAAAGCACTGGCAAAGGGTATTCGCAGTTCCGCGCGCTCGCCTACGTTCCACGGGCATTTATCTATGTCCCTGCCGGTGTCCCGCGTGTAATTAGAGATATCGCTGATAAAAAAAAGTTAACACAAATTCCGCGGGATTAACTTGTACGTACCGTTGTCTCCGTCACACCTACGCGCGCGTGTATTGCCAAGTCCAACGCGGTGAGATTTAATGGCGAAACTGCAAATACCATCGTTACCAACGTGTTTGGGAAAATACGAACGTGTCCGCGATTCTTCGTCTTCTATTCTAGTTTAAATACCACCTGTCAAACGTGCAGCACCGACTCATTCCAGTCGCCGTCTTGTGCTCGTCATGTCTTTGTTCAATCGCATGTTTGTTCCTCAGTCGCATCCTTACGTACCCCTTTTCCTTAGATTTGTACAAAGAGATATCTCAGGCTCATCCCGCAGGCGGGAGTGAGATCCTGACAAATCGAGGGATGAGAACACGATAATATACGGTCTTGCTCGAGAAGCATCGTGAAGATTCGCTATGATATCTTGATGCATCCTGCTTTCAACTTGCTCGAAATGTAGGTGAGTTTGTAAATATTATATGCGCGCGGATTACATAAAAGGATTATGTAAAACGTACTAGAAAATATAGGAATAATCAATAATTGGAACACAATATGTTCTAATCATTATATCAAGCATTTAACGTTTAATATTTAACATTGAATTTAAGATTGAGTTTAATATTTAAATAAATTAGTAAGGCTCGTATGTGTTAAACACAAATTTCAGAGAATTTAAAGGACTCAAAGCCGTGACAGGATGGTAGTGTCTAAATATTCTATTCTAAATTTATTGCGAAAAAATATCACCTCGGCCAGGGTTTAATATTTAACATTTGAATAATTAAGTACCATTGATAGGTGTCTGTCTCGTAAGAAGATTGTTATGTTATAATGCCGTTTTAATTAAATCGAAGACAAAAGAAAATAGATAAATCTCTTAGCATAATAGCAATATCTTTGATCATTAACGGCGCATTGCAGAAGTCGCGTATGAAATATTTAGTAAGCGATTATATTTTCTTACAATTATTTATTAGTTATGCGTCGCGAGATACTCAGTTATACTCACGATCAGTCGCGAGGTACCCACGCGAAACTTATCCAGAAGATCTCCAGAGAGAATGCAGAACAGACACGTAATTATGTTCGTACATTTGTTATTTCGTTTTAAAATCTTTTGTCTTCCACGAGCTGGAGTAGGATGCGACCCAGTTTTAATAGACATTGTAATAAACCAATAGATGGAGTTAATCCAACATTCTAAAACCGAACCAATCAAATTTTCTCGGGGGCACAATCGCTATGAAGTCTCCCAATTAAGGGGATGCTGGAGTGGTTTGATTTACCGACAGAGTCGGATACCGTTTTTGCGTTTGTAAATCTTATTATTTGCATTTATGTACAAACTAATACCAGACCCAAGTGTAGAATGCATAGTTGAACATTTTCATATAAG